CAGCAAACTGCGCCTCAGACCCGGTGCTAAACAGTTCGACGGGACTTAGAATGCTAGTGAGACTTTACAACCGTGACGCAGTAGAAAGCTGTAGCCCTAAAACTTAAACCCTGAGACCCGAAGCCCTAACACCCTAACACCCTAAAGCCCTAAACAGTAGTATAGGGGCCTGAAAAAAATTAGAAAAGGGCTTTGAAGTTATCATACATCTATAATTATAAGGCATCCCGCAAAAAGAAGAGGTAATTCTGAAGACCTCGATATGAGGGTTTACGGGAAAAGGGCGAAGCCATCCCCCGCTACTCGACGTGCGAGCTGCCGGAGTGTGTCCCACAGAGGGGTAACAAACACTAAACCCTATATAGAACCTTTATGGATCCCTTTAAGGAACCCTTATGGATCCCTTTAAAGGAAACCCTAAAATCCCTAAACCCTAATACCACCAAAACTCCTTAATCCTAAAAACACCAAAACAAACGCTTATCCACTCTGTCTGAGGTCCTTTGTGTGATTGTAGGTCTATTCCTGGCTTAAGGGGCTTTGGAACGTCTGGGTAGTTTGCATCGGATGTTTGACTCACCCAAAGGCAAGACCACGATGGGGCCGGGACGGGGGCACTAGAAGCGAGGCGACCGGCGCCTCGCCTCCTGCAATGGCTTTGGGTTCAGTTTTTTTTTGTTGAGCGCCTTTTTCCTCCTTGGGTTCAGGCTTTAGGGATTAGGGTTCTGGGCTTAGTGCTCGGGGTTTGTAGGGTTTTAAGGTTGAGGGCTTGGGGTTGAGAGCTCTCCGAGATAACTTTTCGAACAACAGTTCTTGAGAGTAGTAGTCGTCGTCCCAAGTTTTCATGCGGATCCCTGCAGATCCATCCTCTCGATGGATGGAGTTCCAAAAATAGCTCCATCTTAACAATAACGCGCTGTAGTGAGTGCCCGAAATTGATGACCGCGTGGTCCAACAACCCCATCCGAAGACCTTATTTGCGTGTCAGAACCTACTATATGGGCTGACATGCACTGTGACGACTTCGCCTCAAACCACACCGACACCGCCGAAACTCGAACCCCTAACCCCAAACAAGATTTCACCCACAAACTACAGATGTTCTCCGGTGCAGGCTGGGGCAATAAGAACAACGAATGTAGAAAACAAACATTGGCAATGCATTGATAAGGCCCACAGCACGACATCCGGGAATCCGCCACGACCACTATGATCACGCAAGCAAAGCACTGCCACCACCGACCGTGACCACGAGGACGATGACTGCGGATACTGGGGGGGTTATCTAAATGACTTTCCTTTTTAGAGTCGTTTTCAGGGTCCCTTTTAGGGGCCTTTTTAGCGTCCCTTTTAGGGTCCTTTTGGATTCCTTTTGGGGTCGATTTTACGGTGCCGTGCTAAAAAGGGACCCTAATTTACAGAACTACCCGCTGGCCATACCCTAAAACCCTAAACCGTTAGCCTAAACCACTACCCCTAAACCTTAAACCCCAAACCCCGAAACCCTAATCTGCAGAACCACCCGCTAGCCATCTCGAGCTCCGGCCTGCCACGTGGGCATGGTCGCGCCAGAAGTCAAAGACCTCAGGTGAACTCCTCCCCAAAAAAGAACCCTAATTTTGACAACCTCCCAAATAGAATAGGGTTCCTTTAAAGGGGCCCTATAAGGGTACTGTATAGTATTATAGAAATCCTCCTCCAAACCAGGAATGTCTGCTATTATAGGGGCCTTAATAATTAGAATATAAGGGGTCTATAAGGGGTTCCATAAGGGATACTATAAGGGTCATGTAATATAGGGGCTGGAATACTTGGAATAGGGTTTCGGTGACCCTTCTGCTATCATTACACTAAGGAACCCCCAAAATAGTATAGGTAATTAGTGGTTAAGGCCCCGATGTAAGCTTCAGCTTGTCGGTTTTGCTAGGTTGTCTCAGAGTAGTTTTGGGTTGTCTCCACATCCGCTCAGCACTAACTTCAATACTTGCTTAATTCTCTCATCCACCGCTCCAGGGCAAGCACCACTGCACTGCCCAGGGACACGATCGCGGCCCAAGGCGAGTATGCCGGTCCGTCCGTGTGAGGCAGTATGCCTGGAGTCGGGAAGTTAAAGCTCGCGGGAATCAAGGCTTGTGCCATGGAGCGGTTCATATTCAGGCTTCGACTTGGGTTGTGCTTTGCATTCTCGACTTACGGCTTCGGCTACTTGATCGCATGGAGTCTGACTGGCATAGCATGAGAGCAGATGTGTTCTGCGACAGCTCGATCATGGAAGGCTGCTTCAAAACTGGTTGCAATCCTCTGCAAAACATGATTCGAATATATTGCAAAACACAGCTTCCATTGACCTCAACGATCACCGATCGACCCCCCTCACCCCCAAACCCTCCATCACCCTGAATCCCCAAATCTCCCAAAACCGGCCAGACCTTGGCCCGGCTGGTAGTGGTTCACCAAGACGTGATTCGGCGTGGGCTCCTGGTCTCAGCGCCCTCCGGAAGGAGGGCTTAGGGATGAGGGTAGATCGGAGCAGGCGGGTGGGTCTATAAGGGTTTCTGTTAGGGATCTATAAGGGTTACTATAAGGGATCTATAAGGGTCCACTGTGACTATACCACACATGCAGCAATGTATCTTAAGGCTTAAGGCTTGTCACAGATATGTGAATTATCATCGAGGAACCGAGGGTGCCGCTTGCAGTGCACTTCCCCATGCTCCGAGCCCGAAATGGTGCCTACCCCAGAGACTAAAGGAGTGGCACATAACCATCAGAACCGACACAGCTTTTCGTGGTGACGGGCATAGCACAGGATAACACGCGACATAGAATACTCATCGTGCTGATGACCATACTCGCACTCAAAAAAGAGTACGGCTGGCCGTCGCTCTGTGTCCCACGGCTGAAAACAGCATAAACGGGGATGCCTTATGATGCATCCTGAACCCCAACACTCAACCCCAAGTCCCAAGCCTTAACCTGAAACCTTGTAAGCCCTGAGCCCTAAGCTTAGACCCTAAGTCCTAAGCCCCTGTGCCCGAAACCCCTAAAACTGCTGTAAGGATACAGACACGCACAGCAGAGACTGCTGGAGCCTTCCGCATTGACGGTGCAGTCAGTATACTCTCCGGAACAAGCTCTGTACTGTTTAGGTGGCTCCATATTATAGCTATGGTATAATATACCTCCCCCAAAAAACTTATTCTGATCATTCGGGCCGCTATATTAGTATTGTTTGAACCCAATCCCGGGAGTCAGAAGGACTTTTCCACACCCCGCTCGACCTGCATGTCATGGGCACACTGTGGCCGACTGGGCCGGAAAGACTGGGACCAAGAGTCTTCCAGTTCGGCAGAACCGTCATCGATTATAGGGGCCTCAATGATTGCCAAAACCATTTCAGGGGTTCCTTGTTATAAGTATAGTGTAATGGGCCTTGAATCATTAGAAAAGGGTTTTGGGGTATATGTACTATAACTCTAACAAGGACTCCCCAAAACAGTGGTAACCATTGAGGCCCCTATACTACCCCAGGGGGAAAACTCGGCAAAGACTTTTACAATTTTCCGCCTGCTGTCGCGCACGAAAGCAGGCGAAGCTCCTCTTCGACCGCTTCGTGGTGAACCACGTCATGTGGGGGATACTTTATCGAGTAATGCACGGAGCTCAAAACATATTGAAAAACTAGAAGAGGGTTTTGGGAGTTCCTTCATCACGATTGTACTCAGTAATATACCCCAAACCCTATTTACTTATGAAGGCCCCTAGATTATGTTTGCTCCGGTTTCCAACCACCAGAGACACAGGATAGCACCAAGAAGCACAGACGTCGTCTCGAAGTTGCACAGCGAGGGTGCCGCATCTGCGTGGGAGAGACAGCACCGGAGAGACATCGTCCTTCCGGAGAAGAGGAGGAGACCCTATCGAGGGCAAAACTGTCCGACCCCATGCAGCAAAGAATGCGCAAGCGGGATCTTGTGCATCATCGGTTCCGAACTCCTCCAACGTTAACTGCTGTGCAGCATATGCCCATCGCCTACAACCACTCCGGCATGCTCCTTTACGAAGACCGAATGCTGGATTTACTAGCGCATGGCTTCCTCACCTTTCCAAGACCGTAACCGGTGACGCACCACAGTGATTGCTCGACAGTCTTATCACGGAACTCACATTCTGCCATTGCTCTATACCTGCTCAAGATGTGCACTCGAACTCGCGAGCGTTAAGGTTGACGAAGCACGGCGAACACACACACACACACACACACACTGTCAAGCAATGCTGTTGCAAAATGTATTTGTTGAGCGGGCTGGCATGCACTGTGCAGGCCGTAGGCTTGCAGCGGCAGGCGACCAACCCGATGCAGACATGCAGCTTTGGAGCTCAGATTTCTAGAAATAGCCAGAGTAACAGCTTTCTCGCGCAGCAGCTTTCAACAATCCTGTGGATATCGTCGAGCTAGCCGCTCATCGGAAACATCCTCGAACTTGCACATCGGCAACTTCGCTTCGTTGCTGTGCTTGCTCGTACCGTATACTATACTACTAGGACACACCATACTCCAGCGGTATATGAGACAGATTACCCAAAGGGGTGGAGCTAAAGCTAAGACCTTCGTCATGCATCATATGTGAAGCTGTGTGAAGCTAGACGCGTGTCGCAAGATCAAACGGAAACCGGCCATGAAGTGCCTTAGAGCGGAAAATTGTAACCTCTTGTGAGGACCTGTGTCTCTTTCAGACAGGGTAATGACCACCTGGAGCCATAGCACCCGAGCCGCCAACGAGCTAAGAACAGTACCGGATCGTATCTTACGCTGTCTTCGGTACGTATCCTTAAAACTAACTAACTAAGACTACTTTCTTGCTTGGCTGTCGCCCAGTTATGCTCTGACTATCAGGCAGGGAACACGACGAAAAAAAAGCAGGAACTTGGAAGCGCGCTTCTCGGAACTCGAAGTGCGCCAACAGGGACTCGGAAACTTCTTGCAAATGCTCCTTGGATCATGCGATGTCCGAAATCACCACATCACTCTTCGCGGCCATGCCATCTTCCACGTGGATGTGAGCCAACTTGTCGGTGTCAGCTTCCTTGACTTGATACTGCCTCCACGGCCAGGAGGGCTCGTCCTCGGCTTCGTCGGCAGTGTCCTGCTCGCACTCGAAGATGTCGTGCAAGTGCGGAAGCATCTCGTGCAGCTTCATCTCGCGCTCTTCCTGCCGACCCCAACACAAGGCGGAGCCGTGCAATCTCTCTCTCACCATGGACTTGTGCTTGTGGAAGGCTTGCAGCTGAACGAGGCTGGGCAAAATCTGCGAGCCTGTCTGCTGCGAGTTGCATAGCTCATCGAAGAAACCCGGCCCAGCGTTTTCTTGAGTTTCTCTTAAACTTGGTGCGAATCGCCGGCTACGAAGAGCCATCAGGCTTCTTGGAGAAAGTTTCTTCGGCTTGTTCGGAGGCACTGGAAGCAGCGTTGTCGCGGAATCCTCGTTGATTCCTGGCATAGGTGCGAACGCCATCAGAATAAGCTTCCGCTCTGCAGAGTTGGCGATGTGAGCGATGAGCAAACTTGAGCCGACATCGTCAGGTTTTTTTATGATCATTGACTTCAGTATGCCCGTGTCTGAAAGCAAAGGCGGATTTTATGTGTAACTGGACAGGCGGCACGTATGCAGTGGCTTGAGGCGCCAGTTTTCTCATTGCGGTGCTCTTCCAAGCAAAAGATGCTACAGGTGCATTTCGGCCGGGTACTAGTATTATGCCCTGGAGACGCAGAAGTCTCGTGCCCATCATAGCGACCAACAGACACAAGCATTCCTGCGGAATTACGAGACCCCTAAAATGTGCAATGCTGGATCCTGCACTACCCAGCACCCAAGTCGCAAATCAAGTCCAGAAGGCCAAAGAGCCGAGGATGCTCAATCAACCGTAAACTCAAAGCCCTACCTCTTGAACCCTCTTGACATACGAATCTCAGGAACACGCGGCAGCGCGGGAAAAGAAAAACGAACCAGCAGCTGGCAGGATCCAAATGTTAAGGAAACTGCGCCTAAACCCTAAACTGGGCCTAAACCCTAGACTCTAAACCCTAAACCCTGACCTAAACTCTAAACCCTAAACCCTAAACTGGGCCTACACCCTAGACCCTAAACCCTAAACCCTGACCTAAGCTCAAAACCCTAAACCCTGGTTCTGACCACCGGGGCCACCACCAACGCTGCCGCGTCGCCGACGGCGAGGCAGAGCTCTTGGAGCCAGGGCCTTCTGGGTTATGGTTGAGCCGCTTATAATTAGGGTTTAGGGTTTAGGTTGAGCCGCTTGTGTTTAGGGTTTAGGGTTATGGTTGAGCCGCTTATAATTAGCACTACCATTTTGATGATAATTATTAGCACCACCATTGTTTTTGTTGTTATTATCATGGCTATTTTTGCTTATAAACATTAGTATTCTTAGTATTATTAGTACTATTGTTTTGTTTAATTTGGGGTTACGGGTCTCGGTGTTGCAGGCTCGGAAATTCATAGCTTTCGAGCATTTATGCTTTGCGATGGTTTGCGAGCGGGGGCTTTCGATGCAGTGGACATGGGCTTGGCAGTGCCACCCGACATTCACGTTGGACTGTGATGAGCGACTGCACGGCCTGTTTTTGACCCAAACCCCGAAACCCGAAACCTCAAACTCCGAAACCCCCAAACCCCTAAATCCCTGCAACCTTGCAAGGCCAGAAACCCTAAACCCCTCGAAGCAGATGTGCTCCCGGCGGCAGCACTTCAGGCAGGAAGGGCGGCCTTGGATTTCGGGAATGACATGCTTCAGGGCTTGGGTTTAGATGGGTTTAGGGATAGGTTTGAGGGTTTAATGTAGGAGCCTAAATAATTACCAATATTATGGTGGGGGTTCCTTAATATAATTATAGTATAATGGGCCCCAAAACCCTATTCTAATTATTAAGGCCCCTACATTAGGAGCCTGATTCAGAAACCTCAGGGTTCCTTGTATGAGCCCTACTGTTTTAGCGGGAGGACTTGGAGCGAAGAATACTCCTGGAAGTCTTTTCGGAGGAGAATGCAAGGCTTCTGGAGTCCAAGTCAGAGTTGGCGTTGATGCTGATCTGGGGAGTTTCAAGCCCTGGATCGTTGAAAACTGCGACAAGAGTATAGCAAGCTGATGGCATGGCATGCGGCGGGGAGATGAGGAGCGCATTGATGAGTATGCTGCTTCTCTTGCTCCGGGCATTACCATTCGGTGTTTCGTGGGACCGTGTCAAGACCACTGCAGAGACAGTGTGACTTCCCCCCATAGTGTCGATCGGTTCACGATTCTTCTTTTGGACTGGTCGCGCTGGGGGTAACAGTCATGGCAACACAGAAGGATTCTGCTCGGTTGCATCTCACGGAAACCTGCAAGGTCCTGGAACGACGGTCTCATAAGGAAGCCAATACCAAACATCCTTTTCCGAAACCTCGTGGAACAAGGCTTCCGGAATGGTATTGTAACATTGTCCGAACATGAAAGACCAGTGCCAGCGCCAGGCCAGCACCAGCACCAGAACAAGCATCATCATCATCACCATCGTCATCACCATCGTCATCACCATCAGCAGCAGCAGCACGCTAATCGCCGTCACTGCCATCATTAAGTAGTACCATCAGAGCCAGCATCAACGCGCCGCCACGCTCACAACCCTCGTCAAACATCATCATTCTCTCAAACTATCATCCTCAGCAACCCAATCCATCATGGCCATTAGCATCATCAAAGTCACCATGTCACCATGGCCTTTCGCAAAATATCTTTATCATACTACTTTGGCCAAGCCCTTGCCCTCCCTCCCTTGGTGCCGCGCCCCGGGTCGCCGCCGTATCGCGCCGTCCGCTTGGTGCGAAGCATCTGGAAGTCTGAACGCCTCAGCAGAACAGTGCAGGGGCCGGAGAAAGGACTTGCAACTTATATAAGGCTTGGAGGGCTGTAATGCCGATGCATATGGTGATGGTATGGTGATTGCGACATCGAAAAAGATGCTGATACACCTGATACACTGATTGTGCTGACCTGAGAGCGGCGACGCAGTGATGCAGCTAATGATGCTCAAGCTGGTGACAGTAGCGGCAGTGCCCATGCTGACAATCATGGCAAAGAACAACTTTCCGACAACCACCATCTGACGAGCTAGCACAAAGGACCTGGCAACAAGGAAACCCGGAGAGCTGGATTACAGAATGGGCGGAGGGGCCCGATAAAGTGGTAGACGAAGGGGCATGGTCAAACACAACAATAATTGCAAACACTTCCGGCATGCTCATGCTATAGGTATCATCACGGACATCATCGCTGCACCAACATCGTCATCAGCACCAACATCAACAACACCATGAACAGCGACACCATCAGTGACAAAGGCCACAACATCATCATAGTGCTGTTGATAGTCTTAATATGTGACTTCATTTCATAAATTATGATTATCTTCTAGGTGTTCTTGCGTATTGAAGTGGATTTTCACCTTCATCTTAATGTTTCATCTTTCATCCGCCATCTTCACCTTCATCTGCACCTTCGCCATCAGCATCACCATCATTATTCTCGTCATCGTCGTCAGCACAGTTGCTCTGTGATCCTTGTATCGTTATCACCGTTATAGTCGTGATCGTTGTCGTCGTCGTTGCTGGACAACAACAGCAGCAACAGCAGTAGTAAGCAGGCAAGCAACAGTTGGATTCCATGGCCTGAGAAGTCGACCGACGTCTCAGGTTGCGCAAGAGGATCTCCTTCGGCTACAAGGCATACCGCCATCTATAATCATGCCAACAAGCTGTCGGATAGGGTGGACCCCCAACCTTGAAACCCTAAGTCCCAAGCCCTAAGAACCCTAAACCCTAAAACCGAAAACCCTAAAGCCCGAACTCCTAAACCCTGAAACCCTACAACCTTAAACTAAAACCCTAAAACCCTAAACCGAGAAACCCTCGACCTGACGCGCTCGTTGCGGCTCCTCGGCCTCCGCTGGAAGCCAATCCTGGAAACTAGGCACCGTCCCAAAAGCGCATCAGGTCTAGGGTTTACCTAAAAGCGGAATAACCTACCTTTTTAAGGACTTATATAAGAGCCTTAAAAACGTAGGTTATTCAGGGTTAAGGTAGGGTTTGTAAAGGGTTTAGGGGTTTAGGGACTAGGATTAAGGGCACTCTTCATTGCTTCTCCTACTGTTGCTAGCGATCTTCAAACCTGCACGCAGAATTCCCTCTCTTTGCTGTATCCTGAGCTTCTACAACATGGGAGCCCTCTGAAGATCGTGCTAGTTTTCTGCGATCATAGTCACTAAAAAGGACGCCTAAAGTCCCAAACCCGAATCCCCGCTAGACCCTAAACCCTAAAGTGCCGAACCCAAACCCCCACTAAACCCTAAGCCTAAGCCCTAAACCCCAAAGTCCCAAGCCCCCCAAAACCCTAAGCCCCAAAGCCCACAAAGCCCTAAACCCCGAACCATAAGCCCCCAAGGGCCCCAAAACCCCCACTGCCTCGGCCAGGCGGACGCTGTGCAGCGCCGCGGCCGCCTGGGGCGGCGGCCGCGGTCCCAGAGCTAGGGCCTCCTCGGGCCTCAGAGTCCGGAACCAGATCTATAGGGCTCCTATAAGGGCTCTTTGAAGGGTTCCTTTAAAGGGATCTACAGGGCTCCTACAAGGTTGTCAAAATTACGGCCTCCTCGGGCCTCAGAGTCCGGAACAAACTGTTCTTGAAACTTGAAAGGACCGGTTTAGGGTTTCGGGGTTTAGGGAGTTAGGGGTTTGGGGATTTAGAGGTCTATTATAGGGGCCTTAGTAATACATACCTATAGTCAGAGTCCGGAACCAACTGTTCTCTAAACTTGAAAGGACCGGTTTAGGGATTTTTGGGTTTAGGGATTTAAGGCTTTTTTGAGCTCCTTCTCCACGCAGCCCGAGGGTTTGGAGTCTAGGGGTTTAGGGTTTATAGGGGTTTAGGGGTTCAGGGGTGTAGGGTTTACGGTAGAACACCGGCCGAGTTCATTTTCTGGTTCGCAAAAGCTCCCCCGAAAGCTGAACTAGCCCCAAAACTGAGCTCCATGCCTTTTTCTGACGTGGCATCTCTCTGGGCTCCCGGCCCTTCAGCTGTGCCTTCGACAATCGCCTCCTTGGGCGGGGTCTCCTGGTTCAACCGTTGCAGATGGTTGACCACAAGCTACCCAGAGGCCCCAAAGTAGTTCCTTTTGGGGATTACCTAATAGGATTCTAAATATGAACCCCTAAAAGGAACTACTTTAGGGCCTTAGGGTAGTATCAACATCTTCATGCTTAACTTCAGCCCCTTGGTTGATGCGCCACGAACAAACACCGGACACCTCATCCCACCAGATTCTCATGCGGGAAATTGCCTGCCTGACTCATCAAAACCTTGTGTAATCAACATACCGAAGCCGCCGACTGTCGACTTCAGCGCCCTGTGCACATCGATCATTTCCAGAAAAACGGAGCCACTCATTTCCGGAATCCTGCGATCTATACAGGCAGCACGCGCCGTCCTTGGCCCGTCGTATCAAGGCCTGTCATGGGGACAAGTTGTTCGTCAAGCTCTCGGAAACTTGGCCAGCTAGGCTGCAGAAATGGAAAGGTCCCAGCGTCGCGGTGACCTTCACGACCCAAAGAGCAATGATCAGTATGTGAAAAAACTATTCCTCAACCCGCAGCCTAAACCCTAGCTCTGGAAAAAGAACCCTTTACTGCATTATAGAAGCCGGTGGTACGAAGCTGGCCTTAATGCTCATCGCCCGCCGTGGCTGGGTAGAAGTTCAGCAGCAGGTGGCGACATGGGCAGGAACCTACCTGTCGAGCGGTCCATTTCCTGTCTTTCTAAGATGAAGGAACAGAGACTGGTACAAGTAGCTCGTGAAGTGCTTCAGACTATCGCCGCACTGTCGAGTGACAGTCCTTGCAGCCAAACGATCGTCAAGGTGGATGCGACCCTTGTGATGTTCGTGTGCGGCTGTGATTAGTTTACGGGGTTTCGACCGTTCCCGGGGATCCAACGATATCATGATATCGTACAGAGTCGATGACGATGGACGGGCACCGAGGAGATAAGCCGGTGTTGACCGCAGCTCTGAAGTCTGCACACCCGTCAAAGTGACCCAAGCCACACCGCCGAGCCGAACATTCAGAGCGGTTTTCCCCGAGTTGCCCTTCTGGCTTCCCCGGGTGTTCAGAGTCTCTTCTGTGCTATTGAGATCAGCGCAACCATCACCGAACTTGCTGGTGCCCAGCAGAGATTTGAAGATTGAAAGTTAAGCAAACGAGATCACAAGTGAAGCGGTAGTCGTCGAGCTGCTGCGCCATTGCAAACAGCCCTCACTGCAACTGGAACACAGAAACACACTATGTGCACGTTCGTCAAGGAGCGACAGGCCCAAGCCACGAACCACTGCAGATTTTTTCTGACTGGCTTGACAGAATCGCCTTCCCCTCTCTGGGTCTGCCAAGGCTTGTGTTGGACTTCCCCAACACCGGCTCCAGGGCTTTGGGGCTGCTTTCAGCTCCGAAACCAAAACACTACCAATGTCAGCACAAGAGCGAATGCAGTGCTTTCCGAACGAAACAAGACGGCTCTGTGGAAGAGGAACAGAGGTTCAGACTTTATTAAGCTTTGCGATGTCGTGGGGACCTCACTGCACGTGCAACTATCCGATTCCCGAAAAAGCCGGTGCACCGAGGTACTGAACGGACCGATGTCTGGAGATTTTGGCATGTGGGGTTAGGTTTCATGACGCGTATTCTACAAGCAAACAAAGTTAAAGGAGGATGCTTGAATTGAAAGGGCTCGACATCATGGGAGCAAGCGTATCGACTTGCATCAAATTGTGCAAGCTGCATTGCTGCTCTCAAGCTACAACCGGATGAACGCATGACTCATGACCTAAAGTGTCGAGTATTCCTACTCAGAACAACTTTTTCAGTGCCAGAACATGCTAATGCAGCAGCACTTTAAGCCACGTGTCCCCTGCTCTACATCCGCCCTTTCCAGTCATCTGCGCATCACTACCTCGGTTCCCCCGTCCTACGCACCAACCAGGCCTGGCAATTTCCTGCGTCAAATCTCTAGAACTCCCCCTCCGCTTCCCACACACTAAGTCCCTAACTGCAAGAACACCGTCATCCTAAACTTTACTGGCCTTCAGAATACGAATAGGGTTTTGCGGCCCACCATACTTCAATTATAATGAGGACCCCCCAACATAGTATAAACAATCAAATGTTTATTAAGACCCAGGCCTTTCTCAAAACACGATCTCATTCCACCCGCACGCTTCGCAACGGTGGATAAGCGCAGAGTCGCCACTGGCCTGCTGTGCTGAGTAGTCTTTTTGTGGTAAAGGGAACTCCAGAAAGTTGGAATATGGATTAATGGTAGGATCCCCTATATTTTACCTTAAAGGGATTATGATAATGATATTCCAACTTTCCGGCTTCTACTGTAAGATGAACTCCCCTTCAAAGTGGTGCTTTTCAATACCTGCTGCTGGGAATACCAACGACAGCAAGCTTACGTAGTGATATCTGCTGTAAAAGTGGTGCACTACCATACGGGTGGTTGTCAAAATTAGGGTCCCTTTGTGGGTCCTTATTATAATACGGCACCTAATATTTAGGGTACCCAAAAAGGACCTATAATTTTGACAACTACCCATACCACCGCGCTCTTGCTCTGGTCATACTTGGAGAGCTCTTAGCGGCCAGGGGGTTGCAAAAACTCAAGGAGCAAAAAAGGCCAAGTCTTTGTGCTTTTGGGGGTTTAGGGTTCAGGGGTCCGCGTTTAGGGTTTAGGGTTTAGGGTTGAGGGTTTAGGGGTCTGGGGGTATAGAGTTTTAGGAGGGCATCCTGTCTAGGGCTCGGGATTGGGCTTCCAAGGTTCAGGTCTTGCGCTTTCGAGGCTTTGGGCTTTGCGATGTCGGTTGTACGTCAGCATCAAGGTGCAAGGAGCCCATCCAAGAGTGCAATGCTGCCTCAACCCCACATACTGAAACCATGCGAAGTAGCATGAGTGAGCCTAAGCGACGGAACAACTGACGGCCACTACTCACTCTCGCTCAATCCACAACCCGTGGGCACAAAAGCGCGGCTCACCACCCTCTTGAACCCTTGGCAGCTACGGTTTTTGCGGTCCAAGGGATGCTGTGGGGCCCACCTCGAAGTGCCCGCGCTTAAGACATCCACCCTTCTGGTGGCGCACCTGAAGACAAATTCATAATGACAGGGCGGTGGGCTTGTCAGTGCAGAGGCGCAGGTGCTACTGCCGCTGCCAAGACAAATCTTACTCCTGCTCCCGCTGCTGCTCTCAAGCGCAACCCGACCCATACCTACATAGCTAGCTACCCACCTACCTACCTGCCGGTCCACCTACTTACCTGCGTACCTACCTACCCACCTAACTACCGACAACTGCCGACCCGCCGACCATTAGGTTAACTGCTGCTACACTGGGACTACTCGAACGATAAGGACAACTCGTCAACGAAAGCCAAGGAGGAAGCATGAGAGCGACAGTGTTAGTGAACCACGGTTTCAGGTTTGGGCTGGGGTTTAGGCTAAAGTTAAAGCCCCGAAAACGTGGAATCTCTCTCCCCCGCCTCAGCATCTCCCAGCTGCTCGCAGATGTCGTCGAGGGACAGGAGCTCATCCATGAGGGTCACCCGCATGTCCTTTAGGTGGGGCTTGAGCTTTATAGGACTTAGGATTTCAAGTCCAGGAGTTGGATTCCACGTTTAGGGATTCAGTGTTTAGGGCTCGTGTGATTGGGGATTAGGGTTGCGGATCCAGCGTCCAGATAGAGGGACATGGGCACGAAGCTTGTCGGAGCAAGACAAAGCACAAGGACAGTAATGAGTCTTTTGTGAAAGAAGCAGAGTGATGTAGTTGAATGGGCAATCAGAATCAAAACCATGTCCGCATGCGGTGTTTGGAGAAAACCTATTTTCGGTGCCAGATGGAGACTGGTGGGAATGCAGCACGCCATGTAGAAGAGGTTTTTGCGTGTTGGCTGCAGGGTTGGTGCTTCAAACATCCTTGCACCCTCTGACTCTCTGCACATGCCAACGCACACTTCGAGGCCTAGTAAGGCCCACAGGTCGTGAAATGGCCTGCTGTTTCAAACTGAACATCGGAAGCATTAAGAACCATGAGCCCAAGGCATTGGACTTGGAAAGCTCGGCGATAATGTCAGATGCCTGCAACACCCGAAATTCCAAAAACAATCATTCCGATGAGTCTGCAAACGGTTCCTGGCAGTTGGAGCAGCGCAGCTGACCTGGCTGACCGGACATGGTAGACTGGGGTGATGGGCTACCCCCGAGTCTGAATTGCAGTGCATGCTTCTCCCGTGAACCGAAGCCGCCGCCCACTGCACGACAACCAGGCGCGATGGCACGCAGCGGAAGCAGCAGCAGCAGCAAGAGCAGAACCATCAGCGGTGGCGACAAAGGGAGTAGAGTGGTTGAGGCATCGTCTGTAAATGACTACCAAACAACGGTTCTTAGTCTTCAGTAGGTATTAGTATCAGTAGTAGTAGTAGTAGTAGTAGTAGTAGTAGTAGTAGTAGTAGTAGTAGTAGTAGTAGTAGTAGTAGTAGTAGTAGTAGTCGTGGTGGTGGTGGTGGTGGTGGTGGTAGTAGTAGTACTAGTAGTAGTAGTAGTAGTCGTCGTCGTCGTCGTCGTCGTCGTCGTGGTCGTCGTGGTGGTGGTGGTGGTGGTGGTGGTGGTGGTGGTCGTGGTATAGTGGTAGTAGTAGTAGTAGTAGTAGTAGTCGTCGTCGTCGTAGCAGCAGTAGTTATAGCCCAACCGCCCGCAACGTGTTGAGCCCGCTCGCACAACGTCCAATTGAAATAGCCCATAGCAACAGCAATGGCTGTGGCTGTGGGTGCATGCGGCGAGAAGGAGCAGGAGGAGCCGTAGTAACGGGTGGTAGTACCGGCAGTGGTAACAGACGTAGTCCAGCTAGCAGCCGCCGAAGTAGTAGTAGTAGTAGTAGTAGTAGTAGTAGTAGTAGTAGTAGTAGTAGTAGTAGTAGTAGTAGTAGTAGTAGTAGTAGTAGTAGTAGTAGTGGTAGTGGTAGTGGTAGTGGTAGTGGTAGTGGTAGTGGTAGTGGTAGTGGTAGTGGTAGTGGTAGTGGTAGTGGTAGTGGTAGTGGTGGTAGTAGTAGTAGTAGGAGGAGTAGTAGTAGTAGTAGTCGTCGTCGTCGTCGTCCTCCCAACACCACCGCGACATCATGGACGACGACGACGACGAGTGACAACGACAACGGCGGCGATTGACAAACGACGGTACGACTACCACATCTGCTCTAGCTCTCGCTCCTGTTGATACTCATCTCATGACGAACACGACGAGTGGTGTGTCGAGCACAAGGACAGTGGTACACTCGCCTGCTACTGCTATGACCTTCAGCAGAACATTTGACACGAGGCCTGCATCGTTCTGCAGCCGCCCATCTCCGCAAAGTGGGCAATGCACTCCCGGCAAGAGGTGCTGCTCGAACAAAGCGCAGTCCTGATCAGAGTCTGTTGCACGTGGTTGTTTTGGGGAAGTCACGACATAGAGTCATGGAGTGCGCACCGTCGTTTCTTGTCATGGAGGCTTTGGGCTTCGCTGACGAGCAATCGTGAGGGCAGGGGCTGCAACATGTCCGGAAAACAGGCAATAAAGTCTGCGTGTGCCAACCTGCCAAAGGCCCAGAAACCTTACAGAATCTCAGTTTCAAGTTCGACATCGAACCCTCCCCTGCCTCAAAATGCGCGCACAACCCTGAACCAACAGCCCACGCCCTGAACCTAAGCCAAAAGCTCGCCAGGCCTCTTCATTCTGCAAGTCCTCGAGCCGCTGTGCCTCATCCTCAGGCAATGACCAAAACAGAGAGAGAGAGAGAGAGAGAGAGTGTGTGTCTGTGTGTGTGTATATATATATATATGTATTTATTTTTTATTTCATTAATTACACACCTATACGTATGTAAAGTATTTGCCTATATCTTTTGCAATAGGTGTACATTAGCATATACAGATGTGTATATGTATACAAGCATATATCTATGTCTAATGTATAACCTGTGTTAAGCATGACATAAGCCTCAAGGGCTAGGGTGTAGGGCTGTTAAGGGCACTAGATCCCGACACGACGATTTCGCCACGAACGCTGCTCCGATGTTTGCAGACCTTTCTCTCACTATCTACTCTACCAGCAAGCAGCAGTGTTAGTTGTCGTCAAGGAAGAAGAAGTCGTAGTGGTAGTAGTAGTAGTAGTAGTAGTAGTAGTAGTAGTAGTAGTAGTAGTAGTAGTAGTAGTAGTAGTGGTAGTGGTAGTGGTAGAAGTAGTAGTGGTAGTAGTAGTAGTAGTAGTAGTAGTAGTAGTAGTAGTAGCAGTAGCAGTAGCAGTAGCAGTAGCAGTAGCAGAAGCAGCAGCAGTAGCAGTAGCAGTAGCAGTAGCAGTAGCAGTAGCAGTAGCAGTAGCAGTAGCAGTAGCAGTAGCAGTAGCAGTAGCAGTACAAGTAGCAGTAGCAGTAGCAGTAGCAAGAGCTGTAGCAGTAGTGGTAGCAGTAGCGCCAGTCGTGGCAGTAATAGTAGGTGGTAGCCGCCTTCGTCGTGGTCGTGGTCGTGGTTGTAGTAGGTGCAGTTGTTGTTTTTGTTGTTGCAGAACTTGCTGCTGCTGTTGTGGCTCATCTTATCACCACGACTAGTTGTCTACTTGTCTGTGAGCCAACACTAGTCTCAGATAGTACTTTTCATTCTCGTCAACAGAAGAATCTTCGTTGGTATCTTTGTCGTGGTTAAAATATTCCGATTGCGAGTATATGATTATGATCTGTACTATGCCGTACATGAAAGTTGGGGTGCCCTGTGCAAAGCCCACATCACGCCTGTGCTCGCTGCACTTCGGCACAGAGCTCTTCGTAGATTTCCTTCCGGCCGGATCGGTATTTCCGCATTATGCAGACGATAGCTTCAGAAGGCTCTGACTTGCTGGTTATTTTCTTCAACACACCCTGCGCATGCAGAGGCATTTCGAAACTTCGATAGATATACGCATGAAGGTCGCTGAGACAAAGGTCGATGAAAAGGACCGAAACACTGATCTGAAATTCTGCAAGCGTCCTGCTCCAGGGCAATCATGGCCTCACAAAGACGCAGCTGTCCGACGGAACTGAAAGACAAGCACAGGCGCCTCCATCACCCGATGTCGTGAAGACAAAGACAGCAGACGCTTTAGCGTAGGGTTTGTGGTACAGCAGTAGCCCTGAAGGCGGTTTGGGCATCGCGCGAAGGATTGGGCGAAAGCCTCAGAACATAAACCCCGATAATCGCCCACTTAGCCCGAAACCCTCGTCAAGATTCCGTCTTCGCCTGTCACGAGATTACTCATGAGCTCCCACCGGAATGCCGCCGAAGGCTAGGCCAATCATAGTTTGGGGTTCAGGGTTTAGGAGTTGGGAATCAAGACTACTCGCTATACTCCTGAGCCTTATCCTGCCCGGTGTGCAATATAGGGACCTTAATAGTTAGAACAGGGTTTGGGGACCCAATATAAGCATAATAAGGAACCCCCAAAATGATTAAATCTAGGCCCCTATATCCGTGTAGCGCCTCTTCGTCAAGCCAGTCGTCTGGCGGCACGTCCTCCGAATCAGAGGCAGCTGACGCCGCACTTCGAAGCTTGGTTGTATGCTGGTGTGAAGCTAAGAAGACCTCTCAAGTCTTCGGAGGTGCATATCTTAAGAAGTTAACAGATGCATTTTTCAACTACAATGACTAGAGATGATGAGTGTGTGAACAGTTTCAGGGGCAAGGCGAACGGAGATCTTTACGAAGCTTTGTTTGCGAGGGAACCTCAGAAAGAGCAACACAAAGAACCGACAAGTGACCAGGACCAGTGATCACGATCATGTTCACATTCACACTACCCATACAACCTACCGCTACAGAAAACATGTTAGGCTTGCCGCAAGGCTTTCCCAAATGCTGTTTAAACAAATCTACCCCGGACGGTGATCGGTAAGACAAGACAAAATGCTGCAAAAAGAAAGCTGGAGCTGGCAACGTCGCTTGGCCGGATTTCTCTAAGGAACTACTGCTCTATTCGTTGCTTTTGAGGGAGGTACCTTCTTTGAGGGTCCTTATCCTTATCAAAAGGATCCTATTCTTGTTTTTACTAGTTTGTTGTATGTCACCGCTATTATTCAGGGTCGTTTTGGGAGCCGTGTCAAGGCGGGTATTCAGGCTCTATCGTGCCTGAAGGACTTCGTGCGCCAGCTGGCGAAGCTGTCCTTCTGTGCCTTGGGAAGCGGCGTTTGTGGGGAGAACCAGGAATCCTATTTGGGTTTAGGGCTGTAGGGCTTAGGGGTTTTGGGGTTTGGGGCTTTAGGGGTTTGAGGTGTTACTACCGCAAGACCTCGCAAAGAAGCAGCTTTGGTAGGCGGAAACACCTGGCAGGAAATGCAAACCTTGCACCAACGAACATAAAATGCCACGGCCGCTTCCCAGCCGTTTCCCTACAATGTCAGGATGTCCCTGAAGTGGAAAAAGCCTCGAAATTGTCAGTTCAAATCCGCTTCCGGGCCGTAGGGCTCCAGCCGTGGGGACTGTCCGCAGCCAAACCGCGCAAGCTGTCCAGGAGTGACTGGCAAGCACTCGTGGTACAAATCACAGAATGGATGTCACTAGAGAGTATCAGTTAATGATCAGTTGATGCAGCAGCACACTGCAGCACACGACCGCTTGTGGCAACATTTGTTGTAGCCACTGCTGAGGAGGATGATGAAAAAAGGGCGACGGGAACAATAAGATCCTCTGGCGTGGTCGCCACGGAGGTCATATCAGATTGCACATCTTGGAGTCGGTCTATTACCCAGACCCCCGGGAGGATCTAGAAAGTAGGTCCCCTAATTTGGGCCCTATACTACTACTTTATGATTATAGGAACCCCCATCAAGGGATCTACTTTTAGATCCTCCCGGGGGTCTGGGTAGCTTCGGGCATTTTGCACCTCGGGCTTCAAGGGTTCAGGGGCTTCCATGTCAGACCCAGGGCACGGCCCTTCTGCGGGTTCATGAGAAGTGAACATGTTGGTGAACTTACACAGCGAGAGACGCTAGAATATCTTCGGCAATAGTTCATAACGTACAGATGTTCATGTGCAGATGGTGATCCAGACATGGGGCCATGTAGTCAAGCAAAACCTGCTAAACTATGATCATAAAAATGCAACGAACCAGAGTTGCACATGCACTGCGCAACATTCTGATGTTGCCAAGCTGTCAGGAGCCCCTAAACCCCTAAACCAACCCTAAACCCTAAACCCCTAAACCCTAAACCCCTAAACCCCTAAACCCCTAAACCCCTAAACCCTAAACCCTAAACCCCTAAACCCTAAACCCCTAAACCCCTAAACCCCTAAACCCCTAAACCCCTAAACCCTAAACCCTAAACCCTAAACCCCTAAACCCTAAAACCCTAAACCCTCAACCCTACACCCAGAATTCCCATCGCAAGCTCCCTTGAACCCCAGCGGTGCGCGCCTCACGTCCGGCTCGGACCTCGCTGGCGGCTTTGGAGTTTAGGACTTAATGGTTGGGTTTAGGGTTTGGGATTTGGGGTATAGGGTTTAGGGTTTAGGGTATAGGGTTTAGGGTTTGGGGTTTAGGGTTTAGGGTTTGGGGTTTAGGGCCTTTAGGGTTTAGGGTTTCGGGTTTGGGGTTTAGGGTTTGGGGTTTAGGGTTTGGGGTTTAGGGCCTTTCGGGTTTAGGGTGGTTGGGTAACTCAATTAGTTAGAACAGGCCTTAGGGCCTTAGGGTGTATTATGGTATAAGGATACGAAGGAATTTAGGGAGTGGACTTTACCTATAGTCTCCATTATAGTTCCCTTTTGGGGATACCTTATAGGATCCTTAATATATATTTGGTTAAACCCCCAAACAAGGAACTATAATGGAGACTATAGGTAGGGAGTGGGGATGCACCAACCCGGAGGCTGAAGCTGTGATTTTGGATTGCAGGTTCCCCAAAGTTCTGGAGGGTTGAAGCAATCCTGCCGAGTTCATGTTTGTGCCCTGCCGGGCATGACTTCAGGATGCAACGAGCGGTCTTACAACGGCAGCTCCTCTTTCGTGCGGTAATGGGGACCAGGTGGGTGCTGAAGAAGAACCCGCAACATGATCCTCCCTCACATCCCCACCATCCGCCACCCCAAGCGCTTTGTGCTTGATGTGGGTGTTTTCGATTTCCCGATTCGACTTCCTGGATTTGGCAGACTTCCCGGAGTTCAATGACAGAAAACCTGTCTTCGCAGCCTGAAGCTTCTGTTCCACTGTCCCGAAGGTAAGCCACCATTGGGTACTTCTGACGGAACTTTCTTTATGGTAGCAGAAAAAGGGGTACATAGAAAAAATAGTATGATTTCATCACTAAAACCTAAACTCGGGACCCTTCCTTACCACAAGGCACCCAGGAAACTCCGGCACTCTACGGAGCTACCCAACCTTGGAAGCCTTCTGAGCAAGGGTCGAGTTGAGGCACTCCACTCCCACTCCCGCCTTTCAAAATGAAGGAAGGTTTGCTTGGAGGATCATGGGACTTAGTAACTATAGTTATAAGTCCCTTAATTGGGGTTATAAATTATAATTATAAGCATAGTTACCCCAATAATAACCCTAGTTACTAAGTCCCATGATCCTTTAAGTAGGGTTTAGGGTTTAGCATTCCCGAAAAGCCCAAGAAGCCTTCGGGCCTCTTGTTTACAGAGTAGAGGACAGTACTGAAATCGTGCGACTTCTTAGAGGGAACTCCAGAAAGTTGAAATATGGTTTCAGGGTAGGATACCCTATAATTTACCATAAAGGGCTTAGGATAATAATATTCCAACTTTCTGGCTTTTACTTTATTATGATGTGCAAGCGTGTTCCTTACCATGATGTGACCAGTGGCGCGATCGAAGCATCGTTTTCGGAGGGCGTCGACGGCCGCCTCCCTGCGGTCCAAGGGTGCGCTGATTCAGTGTCAAGCCCTGATGTGATAACAGTCATCAGGATACCATTACTATTACAACTAATGTGTAATAGCTTATTGTGGCTATTATTGTTAATTAGTATTGTTATTCTTGTTATTGTTATCGTTGTTAGCATTGTCATCAGCACTGTGATTCTGCTTCTGCGTGGATGAGTTCTCCTGCTCCTAAGCTCTTTGCTTCTACATTACGTGCTACTGACTCGTTGTGCTACTGACTCATTGCCCAAAACGGCTTAAACCCTAAACCCCGAAACCCTAAACCCGAATTGGATAGCCGTACCCAGGCCACAAAGGCAAGCATAAACTCCCATCAAACCAGAAAGGCTTGCTCCACGCCTCTTACACAGACCTGATAAGGGGGCCTTGACAATTAGAATCGGGTTTTTGTGGTATACTACACCATGATTATAATGAGAAGCCCCCCAAAATAGAATAAGTAATTATTAAGGCCCGATGATATTAAGTGGAATCATAAGTTTTACCCAGAGGCCCCAAAGTAGCTCCTTTTTGGGATTACCTTATAGGATTCTATATACGAACCCCAAAAAGGAACTACTTTGGGGCCTTTGGGTAGGCTTAGGGTCTGACCAATCATCTGAAACTCAAGAGGCCTCTGGGGCTCAGAGTCCAAAGGCTCGGAGCCTTAAGAGACACTGGTGAGGTAGGGTTCCTAGGGTTCCTTTAAAGGGGTTACTATGAGGGATACTATAAGGGATACTATAAGGGTACTAGAATATACCTCGAGGAGCATGGGACTTAGTAACTATAGTTATAAGTCCCTTAATTGGGGTTAGAAGTACTTATAAGTATAGTTACCCTAATAATGACCCGAGTTACTAAGTCCCATGACCATTTAAGTACTGAACTTAGACTCCTGGCAACAATTGTAATTCTAGCTGTTCCTTAGGGATTTTAGGAAGCAAAAACCAACAATGATTTCTAAGTACCCCTAGGGGAAACGGCTCAGGAACATAACAAAGGGTTCAGGACGAAGAGGGCCGCTCAAAGAAACATTTAACCGCAATTTACTCAGTCAAACTGCGTTCCCGTAGGCGCTGCATCCCTGAACCCTTTTGGCAACAGGCTTTCCACTTCCTTAAGCCCCGAGCCCTAAACCCTAAACCTTAAATCCCTAAACCCTAAACCCCTAAACCCTAAACCCTAAATCCCTAAGCCCTAAACCCTAAATCCCTAAACCCTAAATCCCTGAACCCTAAGCCCCAAACTCAAAACCCTTGCAGTCACCCTCACAGGTCCTGTTATAGTAACCCCTGCAGGAACCCCCCGGAGACTCCAATACCCCTTAATTGAGGAATATAGCTTAAATTACCGTAGGATCCCTAATATGATTTAAGGAATATTCCTTAACTAAGGGGTATTGGACTCCCCCAAATCCTAAACCCTAAACCCCTAAACCCTAAACCCCTAAGCCCCTACACCCCTAAACCCTAAACCCTAAACCCTAAACCCTAACGGTAAACACAGAAACCCCCCGAGACACTCTGGGCCTGCCCTGCTGCTTGATGGACCGGCGCTGCGTGGGCCCAGCCATGAGGGCTTAGGGTTTAGGGGTTTAGGGGCTTAGGGGCTTAGGGTTTAGGGTTTTAGGGTTTAGGGTTTAGGGGTTTAGGGGTTTAGGGGTTTAGGGGGTTAGGGTTTAGGGTTTAGGGGTTTAGGGGTTTAGGGATTAGGGATTTGGGGTTTAGGGATGTTTAGGGGTTTAGGGTTTAGGGATGTTTAGGGGTTCAGGGTTTAGGGATGTTTGGGGGTTTAGGGTTTAGGGATGTTTAAAGGTTTAGGGTTTAGGGGTTTAGGGATTTGGGGTTTAGGGATGTTTAGGGGTTTAAGGATTAGGGATTTAAGGTTTAGGGATGTCTTTGGGTTTAGGGTCTGGGATTACTACATAGTAGGAGCCTAATAACTGGAAATGGGTGCCTTTTAAGGGGTTGGGCTTACAGGAGTCTTTGGGGGTTACTACACGGCTCTAGGATTAGGATCAGGGACTATCATGGAATGAGATTATTACTTGTTTGTGGGTTTCTGAGGGGTTGAGTACCCTAGCCCAAGCAAGGTTAACCTTCTCAATTATGGTAGGATTTTATTAGCCCCAGAAGCTACTAAGTTTTAGTATATTAGGTCCATGCACAGAATTGGAAGTGTCGGGCTAGAGGTCGACCGAATCTCTCTTCTGAGTTCTGGGTGCGCATATTGTTTACTTAGGGTTTAGAGTTTAGGGTCCTGTTCTGCGTCGTTCATTAGAGTTTCCGGTTTGTTGGTTGTTAGGCGTTCAGCATGTGTGTCCCACATTAGAGTTTCGGGTCTAAGTAGGGGGTTTGGAACTCCAAGATATAGGGTCCAACATTTTTCACAAGGGTTCAGGGCACATCTGTATTCTATCCTCGACGGCCTGATGTTGAACCCAAACCTAGGCTACAACGATCTCCACCACTGTGGCAGCGAACTCGTCCCTATTGTCACTGGGACTATTTGGCTTCCTTCGGCCACAGCGGCATTGAAGAGAAAGTGCGCGAAGCATGCAAGCATGCCGCTGATGATGCGAATGATGCGGAGAGAGCAGGACGATGGGGAAGACGATGGTGAAATTGATGGCGCGGCAAGCAAGTCCATGAACTCACACTCTGACATTAGGCAGCAGAGCTTTGAGTCTGATCCTCTGCATGCTGATCAACTGTGACTTAGGCTCGGCGACTCTACTGTCGCACTTGCACTTGACCAAAAGACTGGCTCCAGCATGCAAACAAGACGGTTCTTTGTGGACAAGAGCCTTCAGTTTGGGTCTGCAGTAACGGCCAAAGAGCCGATTGGAAGCGGTTGCACTCAGAGGTTTGGCCGACACTGCCGCCTTCGCATGGCTGTACTCTACAGTACAGGGCTTAGGGTTCATTTTATCGTGCTTGCTGTTATTCATTCTCATGGGTGTTCTGAGCAGCTGTCTTCCACCAGCAAGAAGCAGCGACTGCCTCAACTCTGTCAGTGGCTTCGTGCACTGTTGCTTTGTCAATGGTCAGCGGTCCGGAAGGGGTGGTGCCCTGTTAGGTTGAGATTCTATCACCGCTAGCTCCAAGCTCTTCCGTAAAACCATGTGCTGAAGCTGTTACCACCACTACCATGAGCACTTCACTACATCATGGCTAGACCCTGGCGCAATCAACCCTCTCCGGCAGAGAGTCCCGTGTTCGGGACTCGAAAATGGAAATCTTCGATGCGGTGGCTTTTCGACCCCGCCCTCGGTCCATCAAATCTTGGAAATGTGAAGGGCCGTTCTGTGCTGTCGCGGAGGTAGAAATTTCTCAACATTGGTTCAACTAAGCTCCGCTCACAGGTATGTGCGAGAAGTGAGGGGCACTGTGCTAAGTGAAAGGCTCAGAGACTGCGAATAGAAGGGGTACGGTCAGGGCTAAGGACTCGGGTTACATGGCGTGCAGTTAGTTAGTGTGAGTATTGAAGCTGCAAACCCCACGTCTTGTATTCGAGGGTCCGGAGTTCATGACGCTTTGGCCGTCTCAGCTACTCTGACTCGAAGCCTTTGCTGCAAGATGTCCTTCTCATGCCATTCAGTGGCGTCGCGCGGAATATCATATCTGTGATGAAAGCAAACCTGCTGTGTACAATAGCACCAGCAACACCATCGTCATCATCATCACCATTCTCATCAGCAAGATCCATGCCATCATCATCACCATCTTCTTCTCCATCGTTATCATCATCAGCATCGTTGTCATCAGCATCATCATCAGTGGTAGAGGCAGTGGCGGCTGCAGTATCGGCAGCAGCACCAGCAGTGGCAGCAGCAATGGCAAGATCATGTCCAGCCGATGCAGCAACACCACAACCAAGAACAACGGCAGCCGCAACAACACATCAAGAACAGGAAGAGCAGTGGCAACCAAGGCAACTCCCGCCACGACGAATCACAGAGAACCCCATCGACAATGGCGGCACCAGCAAGCGCATCAGGAACAGCAATAATGCAAAACAGCAGCAACAACAGAAGAAGTACACCAACAATACAGTGCCATCTAAAGCAGAAAGAGGAAGAATGATCAGCAGCGCTATACCAAGACTATCAACGTGCAGGATAGTGAAGAAGGAATCTGACTACTATCACTTCTGTGATAAGACGGTGCTTAGGATGACGTTGTTGATGATTGTAATGAGTACGAAGCCTAAGCCAGCGACAATGAAAGTAATGAGGAAGGGATCATGATAGAATGATAGAATGGTAGATATTGTAAGGCTGCTGATGCTGCTGATGACGGTGACCCATAGCGACGGCGCCGGCGCTGTTGCTGGCGATGGTGATTGGTCATGACGTTGACAACCCAGTCGTGCTGATAATCACGATCTTGGTGGTAATGGCGACGGTGATGCAGAGAAGAAGCTTATGGCTGTTGGAGGAGCAGGAGGAGGAGGAGGAGGAGGAGCACAAGCATGGTGGTGAAAATCGTGACCACCGACTCCAGCCCTAGCAGCCCTAGCACGAGCAGCAGCATCACCATGGGCAAAAGCAGCAAAGGCACCATCGCGAGCACGACTACAACAATCACCACGCTTGCTTCTGTCAGAAGTAATGCCAACTGCCACAGAAGGACTCTTCGCGGATCAGAGGCTTGGCTGTACCACGCTCATCTTCGAAGCCGGTTCTATGCACAGGGCACTTGAAGTTGGCAAGGATTCCGAGCCACAATCTGGTTTGAGAGATCCCGGCCCCAGCCTAGCCATGGTTTACTTTGCTCCTCACCGGCGAGGCGGAGGGCTTTTCCTTCCTCCTTCCTCCTCTTCCTCTTCCTCGGTTTAGGGTTTAGGGTCCTCGTCCTCTTCCTCAGCGCAGTCTTACGTGCCTCTTAGTCTTCGCGGTGATGGCCGTTGTCATGTTTCAGACGGCCCCTTGAAAACGCTGACTCCTTCCGGGCAGAACCCGAAGAAGCTCAAGGCCTATCGCACCAATAGACGAGCACATCATAAGACTGTATGTGAAGCAAGCTACATCCCCATATACCCCCAGAGCTTATAGATTCCAAATCTCGTGTATAGCCAGATTGTGAGGAAATCTTCGTCAAGCCGGCCCCTTCCCAATGCAGTCGTAACGCTGTCGCTGTGGAAGACATCCATCGATCCCATTATCAAAGCTGACTCAATTGCGACGGTGGATGTTTCCCTGAGGCAACGGAGCTGAAATCTAGCGTGCGGCTCCAAATTACGAGAAACGGTGTCTCATGCAAAGTTGGGTCTCAATTCTTTGACAAGTTCAGAAAACGACGGTGCAGAGGACTTTTGCGGTAGAACTGAAGGCGTATATAAGTCTTGTACTTGGGGTTTCGGGATCTGCAGCTATGGCGCAACCCTTCATTATGCAGACTCGATGCCTTCCAGTGCGACAGGAGGAGATCTGAGCTTGAGCCTGTCGGGGGACTCTGCATATCCCCGTCACAAGGCCCAGGAACGGGCTGCAAAGCTGCATCGGGAAGTCTGCGATTAGGGTTTAGGGTTTAGGGTTTAGGGTTTAGGGTTTAGGGTTTAGGGTGCGAGGTTATGCTTACCCAGAGTCAGACGAAACATGGAGACCCGAGCAGTGATACAGGGGCCTTACCCTTTAAGGGATACTAGAAGGGTACTATAAGGGATCTAGGGATACAGGGGTTTTAATAATTAGAATAGGCTTTTGGGGCCCGCTATACTATAACTATGATAAAGAACCTCCCAAATAGTAGTGGCAAGTATTTAGGCCCCTATAAATTATGGAGCACTGTGATGTACGGCCCTTATTACACGACCTTACCATTCTCTCATGTCCTTGACAGTGGGGGTCGAGTCGCAAGCCATGCTTGCGCGAGTGACAATCACAGGGCGGCTTAGGGATGAGGGTTAGAGCTTGCTTGCCGAGGATCAAGCATAACTTATTCACAATTTATGTTGGTATCGAGCACTATACCTTTTGCGCAACGTTCTAAAACATGGCAGAGTCCTCAAATGATCCCTTGCAAAAGCAGCTGATAGCCAGATAGCCAGATAAGCATAATTCGTCTTGGTGCGGGCTGGTCTTGCATCCAGACAGCCTGGTGAATGAAATCCGGGAGCGAGGAGTCGCAGCTCCGGCTGCAAATGAACCTGTAGCAGCAGTGAGCAAGGCATCACCGTCATCATCAGACACAACCAGCATCACAACCATGCACGTCACTACCAGAGTCCTGGCATGTTCTTGCAAGTTGGGACTGTGATTGCATGAAGATACACAATCTGGCAGTGGCTGGCCAGGCAAGATACTTGCATCCTGGGACTCATCACTCGGCAATGCGGGACTCTGATTTCAACCTTGCGCCCCGTGCGTAGTTCCCCCCAAAAAAGATCTCACACATTCAGAACAGCCATAGGCCTTTCTTAATCAGCTTGCTATACCGGCCCTACATCCCAAACCCAAATGCTAAACCCTAACAGTGGCCCATACTCATGCTGGATCAATCAAGCACCGCACCAAGTGCTCGTTGCCAGGCAGGCTGTTCACACCGTGAAGAGTCCCGAAGACCGTAGGAG